CCCAATAGCATCGATGACGGTCTCTTCTCCCCAACGCAAAAACTGATGTGATTCCAATAAGGCCAGGACGTCCAGTTCTTGACCACCATATCCAGAAAAGATCTGATTTTCTGTCCCGATCAAGTTCGTCAGGTACTCTGAATTGGCTAGAGTTGCAGTTTATAAGATCTCATAGAAGCTATCTGAACCTGAATTCTCGCCCGGCACACAGCAACAATACAAACTGAATTTTGGCATTTCAGGTTCTACCAAGTGGTGCTCATCGCTCTGTCAGCCATCCTCGGCCTTATACTGATACTACAGTACTTTCTGCTTATGTATTTGCTGCGAATGCGTGAGAACTACGTGCTGCTAAGTCGAAATGCGTTCATTGAAGAAGTCTACGACGAGACACTCACTGACACCGACACCGACACCGGCACAGGACCCCAGCAAAAGTCCGAAATTTCTTCTTCAAGGCTAAAGCAGCTGAAGACAGACGAAGACAACGTGCCTTCTGAGTTGAAATCGAAGAAAGACCTCAACGAGCTACAATCAGGGCTCATGTAGAGGCAAAATTAGTCTATAAATGGTTCATTTGAGTTCGGCATAACTGGTATGCGAGCGGTCGCGTCGCGGTTGCTCTTTTCATAGCAAATGGCGTCTCTGTCTGATTTTTTCTCATGATTTGTCTTATCACTCAGCTATCTTAACCGAACAATATTTTTTGCTAGTCACCGCCACACCAGCATTCGCTTCGCAACCGCACACATCCCAACGCTCCCACCCCTTAGGCCATCTTTTAAGAGAATATGTAGTGCATACTGTTTCAGTGCTCGCCTTTGATCTATTGTATATGTAGCTTGAACCCAATAACCAGCTTAAGCCAGTGGGCGGAGCTTTCGTATTCGAGGCGGAGTTCCCCATGAGTGGCGTCTTTGCCGTCAATTCTTCTCGTCGTAGACTTCTTCAATGAACGCATTTCGACTTAGCAGCACGTAGTTCTCACGCATTCGCAGCAAATACATAAGCAGAAAGTACTGTAGTATCAGTATAAGGCCGAGGATGGCTGACAGAGCGATGAGCACCACTTGGTAGAACCTGAAATGCCAAAATTCAGTTTATATTGTTGCTGTGTGCCGGGTGAGAATTCGGGTTCGGATAGAATCTATGAGATCTTATAAACTGCAACTCTAGCCAATTCAGAGTACCTGACGAACTTGATCGGGACAGAAAATCAGATCTTTTCTGGATATGGTGGTCAAGAACTGGACGTCCTGGCCCTTATTGGAATCACGTCAGTTTTTGCGTCGGGGAGAAGAGACCGTCATCGATGCTATTGGGCCAGAACTCGTCCACTTCTAGTTGCGCAGTGAAGCACCTCGCTCGCAGACCTTCAAACCTTTTCATGTCATCTACAGGTGTTCATGTTTTTATAAAGGGAGAGAAGAGCCCGAACCCATTCAGGTCACAACTTGGCGCCCTGGGCAGGGAAGAACAGTTGGGTGACGAAGGACGGGTACCCTTCATCTGCTACGCCTCTATTAAACATGTCACGCAATCTTGGGTGTCGGTCAGGAGGCTCACCCTGTGGCAAGTACGACGCTGCAGTTACCGTCACACGCTCAACCTTTGCTTTGGAGGAAGTGTTTTCAAAGTTCCTGTGCCCGTTGTGCGTTCGCAGCATGGTAGGCCTCCTAGTCGACACCGCAGGCCGTATCCTACCCCTTCACCAGGGGTACACATCCCTCGCCGGTGATGTTATCCGATTGTAAGGTTGGGGAGAGACAAGGTTGGGTAATGGGACCGGCCATTAGACGAGTAATGGGGAAGCTATCCTCTCCTGTTGAGGTTGTCCGCGTCTGTCTAGAATCTAGGCTATGGCTGCTTCTATGAAGCAACCCTTTCTCCCCAAACCTTAGAATACAATGAACAGTGGGAGACGCCCCTGTCCCATTCCCCCGGAGGAAGGATGGGGTACGGCACCAGGGTGTATCTCGCGACGATGGGAACGGATGCGGACACGGTAGGTTCTGTCATGGCACATGACATTTGGTCTCCCACCGCACCCCCCCCCCCCCCCCCCCCCCAGAAAAATAACTCACTCTGGTGTTTTCTTGAAGATGTCGGGCAACTGCGACGTGAGTTTTTCGAATCCCTTCGCAGCAGGTTTTTTGGTGGTCCTTCGTTGTTCCTGCACATCCACAGCTCTCAAATGTCTTTTATTTGCGTTTGGATGTACCGTATCACTCTCAAAGGGGTACGGTGTTGCCTTTGAAGTATGTGGAGGCAGCCACTCCGTTTTCACCCAAAGAGCAGGCTTTCTTGAGCGTATCGTATAGGCGGCCATCTAATATAATCAAGGATATTTATTTATTTACAGTTCAATCATATCAGTGAGAAATCATGCATAAATGAACCCGGGATGGCATGGATCGATTGACTCAAAATTGAATTTAGAGTGAGAGCGTTGACTGAAGAAGCTAAGTGTGACCCAATACATGTGGACCATTACCGATGAGGTATGCACGCAAAGTTGCTAGCGAGCTCTAAAGGTGGTCCTGCTACCGAGGCCGCAGCACAACAGGAGCTGGTGCAGGGGGTGGGGGGCACCTCTCTGATCTAAACACGAACCCCAGGCGCTGGCTCGGGGGTACTGACGAAGGTAGCAACTAAGGCGCTTAGTGCAACTTCATCACAGTTGCCTACCTTCCAACACTATGGTAGCAATTCCGTGGTTAACTTACCGATTTGCCGAATGGCCCCCGGCGAGTTTCCCTAAGCATGTGTACGCATTTTGCATTGGTTCCGATACCATTTCCTTCTTTTCCTCCTGAGTTCAATAACACTGATACTCTGGGCTATGCTTGAAATAATTATGTCTTACACAGGCGCACGGATGGCCATGCCCATTTCATGGGGTTGCGAGCGGTTAATTTTGGCAACTGCATTGCTTTTCACTGTAGTGTATAAGGCACTCATGTCTTTGGGGGGGGCGGGGGGGGGGGGGGGGGGGGGAGGGGGGGTGACATTTCAATGACGAGCCACTTCCAGTACTTGGCTTATGATCCAGTGGGAATTGTTCTGGAGATCGTTATTCATGACATGTTTTGTCACTCCCCTGGAGTTCTTGCATTCTCTGGTTTATTACCTACCAAAAGCGTTATAATACCACCTATTTTCCCCCCCCCCCCCCCTCCCCCCCCCAAAGCCATGAGCGCCGTGTTCCACAGATTTCAATGGGACTGTTCTGCTCAACAATGACCGTGAATGTCAAACTGACCGCATCGCAACCGCTCGCATCACGAAAATTACGCGATCATTGACGAGCCATTTACCCATTTATGCCCAAAGCCACTTACAAGGAACAAGCTGATGTCGGCTAAGCATTCCCAGGGCGGACAGCGAATGATCAAGATTGGACGCTCAGAGACAAAAACAGGGTCTCCTTAAAGGCACCATCGGAAATGCGCATATTTGCGACAAGGTGGTAGAGGCAATGCTTTTAACCCCTAGGCCGTCAAGGCTTTTTTCATTGAAAACCTGATGAGCATTTTACCGTGATAAATAATCCAAACTTTGTTAAAAGTTCATATTTCCGTTCACTATATCGTAGTCGAGGACGATTGAAGGGCTGAGATTCTTCCTGAATACGTTTCGAATTTAGGGCTAGGCTACTTGGTTGGGGGGACCACGGCGGCGCGGCGCTTTGCTCGCCTGGCGCTCTCTCGAGCGAGATAGTGTGAACTCGAACATTCCAGCTTTTCACGCATGTCAAGTGACTGCCCTCACCCCCACCCCCTAGACTGCTACAGTCCCCCTGGCTCACGGATTTCCCGAAGTACACAAAGATGCTAGGCAAGCAAAAGCGTCGCGCTGCCGCGTGGTCCCCCCCCCTAAGTTAGCACCCGGATTTGGTAAGTTTCGTAACTTTTTCTACACTTCAAGGCTCGGCCGTCAAACTTTTGCCACAGTGCGGCTGCCTCACCCATGCCGGAGTCCCCCTCCTTCCAAGGCTTACTCGTGGGGCTCTCACCTTCCTTCCAAGTATTTGGAGCCGGATCAGGCACCGTTCTATCGTCTGTGCTCTCCCCATTCGCAGCTGGGCCATTAAAGGAAGCGATTACGATAAGGAATTTTCGCATCGGGGGAGAACCTGCGCCACACGGAGCAATTACTTGGCTGCCAAGGAAGCGATGTGTGGTCCTCCCACGGCGAAAGGTGCTGTGGTTGCTGAGCAGGACCCGCGTGACGCCCCGCCCCCAGTGACGTGACGCCCACTGATTCACCGGTGGCTTGGGCGAGCTGCGTTGCCAGCCGCGGCGCGGTTAGGGCGCCATGCCTGCTGTTTGTGTTTGTCCTGTGCCAGCACGCGTTGCGTAATCTCGTACACGCGTGCGCGGTCTTCGCCGCACTCCATCTGAGAGCCGCAATCAACGGCTACAAAAGGGGGTCCCATTTCTCGTTTCCTGAACGGATTTCGCTGCTTCTTTCGCCACTGACGTACCATTGAGGACCCCCTCGTCCCCTCTGAACCCCATTTAAACCTAGCGTAACCGCTGCCTTTAAGGATGTATCAACACACACCGCCCACAAAATGGAGGCGTGAGGTAACTGCTACTGCCATTTTAGTCGCATTGGCTATAGACTGACCTCTAGTGAATCTTTGTCGAGATGTCCGTATGATTTAACAAAGGTCGGAAGGAGTACCAAAATCCACAGCATGTTCTGAATAACGACTACGATTAAAGCGAACGAGTGGTCGAAGGCAGAGATTGCACTGGAGTGGATTTGAAGTCTCGGAACATTTTCACAGTGGGGCCAATTACCAAGCCTTGGGCAGGCCGGACGTTCGCAAGAAAGCTCACCAGAAGGGCCGGTGTCAGACTTGGTGAATTCAGCGAATAGCAGGGGACGGGTTGTGCAGCAGTTGTTCGAACAATGCACCAGTAAACTGACAGTGTGCAAAAATGGCGCTGGATCGCTCCGCGCTCGTTTTGTTTTTTTTGACGTTGATTCCGCAGCTTTTCCAAGCTCTCATGTTCTGGTGAGGTTGAAAGAGTCGCGACAGTCAATGTGCGACGAAAGAGACGCGCACCATTTTCCCACACTGTCCAGTCAGCGGTGCATCGTTCGAAGCGCTGGCGCACATCGTCCCGTGGATTCGCTGGATTCGCGAAGACTGGCACCGGCCTCACTTGCAGTGGTAATTCGTCCTTCCGTCCCGGGAGAACGCTACCTACACTTCTAAACGGACATTTGCTTTTGGAAAAGTGTAATGCCAGAAACATTGTCATCATCTTTGAGAGCGATTGAATAAGTGTGAGTTAAAGGCAGAGTGTCATTGCTTAAACCGAATGATAATTCTACTCAAATGTGATGTAGGGGCGGGAGGACCGCCAGTGGAGAAAAAAGGAAAAAAAATCCTGAAATACACAGGAAATACGAGCCTTTTGCTCTACGTTGCGGAGAAGTTCAAAAGGCCGGCAGGGAGATGAGAGATAATGTGAGCGCGGAGAGCGGTAGAGAAATCCGAGAAGAGAGAGCATAGCAGATCAACATTGCGACGCAGACAAGATATCGAGCGGTGGGCGGAGCGTGTCGCAAGGTGGAGCGTGTCAAAGTCCTTGGCCCTAGCGCCTTACCTTCGCGGGAACTTGGCGAGTCGTTTGGTGCTTCCCCATGTACTCGCCAGCCACTTTAACGGTTTATTAGGTGGGTCTGAGCCCGAACTTTGCCTTTAATGCGCGCGAATACACTGCGACGCATAATTATAGTTCCACCTACAAATTTCCCATTTGTTCCTTGTAAGTGGCTTTGGCCATAAATGGGTAAATGGCTCGTCAATGATCGCGTAATTTTCGTGATGCGAGCGGTTGCGATGCGGTCAGTTTGACATTCACGGTCATTGTGAGCAGAACAGTCCCATTGAAATCTGTGGAACACGGCGCTCATGGCTTTGGGGGGGGGGGGCGAGGGAATAAATATGGGTATTTAAGCAGTAATATTGTCTGGGTCTCAGGTCACGCAGGGATTTGCCTGGGGTGACTTCAACGAACAAAATTTCTCAGATGCTACAGGATCTGACACTGGTGGGGGGGACCCTGATTCCTATCCGACCGAAATAAGCGCTGTATCGTCACAAAATAACACAACTTTATTTAGAGGATTCATGGAGATCAGTTTTACAACACGATCGTGACAGTCCATGTCTGGAAGTTAAGAACTACGCTTTTTGAGAAAAGAATTCAGGAAGAAAAGCCATTTACCTCTAAATGTTTTTCACGATTGTGGCGCAATGTAGGGACTTTTTTGGTGCTAACTTAGTTGGGGGGGGGGCACGCGGCGGCGCGGCAGTCTGCTCACCTGGGCTCTCTCGAGCGAGACAGTGTAAACTCGAACATTCCAGCTTTTCACGCATGTCAAGTGACTGACTGCCCCCACCCCCCCCCCCCCCCCTAGACTGCCTACACTCCCCCTGGCCCACGGATTTCCGAACATGCCAGGCGAGCAGACTGCCGCGCCGCCGCGTGGCCCCCCCCCCAACTAAGTTAGCACCAGCACTTTTTACGACTGTGATATTTAATGGAACTCCCACCTCTGCCATATGCCGATCTTTTCCTTCTTCATACATGTTTGCTACGAAGTAAAAACCGATCTGAGAAAAAAAAACGCCAAGAGAAAGAAAGACGCTAATCAAAAATCACAAATGAAAGAATGTCACCGCTTCAATCGACTTGGTGAAACTTTCTAAGGAAAATGGCTCGTTTTCTCTCTGATTTCTTCTCACTGAAAGCGTATTTTTTATCCTCCAGACATGGACTGTCACGAGCGTGTTGTAAAACACGTGAAACTGCTTCCATTGAGACACTAACTTTTGAAGAAGTTTTGATTTCCGTACCCGTCTGGATAAAGTCGCATTATTTTCTCACGATACGGCGCGTTATCTCGGTCGGATAGTAATCATGGAGCGTTCATAGTTGGCGATCGTGCGTGCGATTAGGCGATTAGGCGAGTAGGCGATGATTCAAAATGAAAAGTATGCGGATCGATTAGGCGATTAGGCGAGTAGGCGATCAGGCGATGAGTAAAGGATACGTATCGATTAGGCGAGTACGCGAGTAGGCGATCAGGCGAGTAGGCGATTAGGCGAGTAGGCGATTAGGTGATATCTGGATTGTATGCAACACTTTGACAAGATCTGCTTTACC